GGGGCCCCCCCACCCCCCCCCCCCCCCCCGTTAGAAAAAATAAAATCCTGTGAAAAAATAAGTATAGCTCCCCTACGATACCTTTGACCAACGACTTAGCCCCCTCCACAATTTTTTCTGGTGACACTCCTACTCACGATCGATCATGATAAATAAACATGTATTAGTTCTGTTGAAATCACCTATCGAAAAATAATTGTTTGTTAAGTCCATATATATATATATAATACTTCAACTTATTTGTAGTGTATGATTTACAATAAACCTCATTTATCATTATTGTCTGTCATTCGCTTATGTTTTGTGCGATGATGCAGAGAATATGAACTGCATGAATACTTACCAAAAAGGACGCTATTCTTATATTCTATTCTCCGTATTCTCTGGTTTGTTTGTCTAATGCTCAATGATCTGTAAAATATTGAATTATGAGAGAAAGAAAAAAAACCCAGCTATCTTATATATGCAACGAGATAACATCCATCATGAATACGCACCCTATGCTAACAAAAAAAATAATGAAAAAACGTCTCTTTTCTACACCTAGACGATTCGCGACGCATACGAATCAATCATTTTCTCTTCGCTTTTATCCGCACCATGTTATTCCATATAATATTTTGGTCGAAAAAATTTAAAACTAAATACCTCGACTACAATCAAAAAAGACGAATATGATTTTATCCCCAAATCGACATGATTTGAATAATATGCAGCTACACGAAAATATCAATGTATTATAATTTAGGTGATTTTGTTATTGTTGCTTACGTCAATCATTACTCCGAGTCATTATTGTTTACTACACTAATAATATCACATAAAAAGCCAAAGAAATAGTCCCCACTCGACCTTCATAAAATACTTTGTAATACCCTTATATCTGGTAAAATCGCGGCTCAAATGTAAATAATTATTCATCGATATTGTTAGACAAGGTCCAATGGTTATTATGTTTTTTTGTTTAAATTATCTTGAGTTGAGATAAACAAAAATCTATCACGACACGCGCGCATTGGTTAAAAAAAGAAATTTTACTTCCTTAATTAGTTCGAACTACGTAAATAATTGCTATTTATCTTAATTTGGTAAATACATTTAGCAAGAAATAATAAAGAAAAGAATACCGAATATATCATTTTTAATGCGGTGCGAAGCACAGCATTTATGTAGTCCGTCGCGAGTTTTTTTTTGTTTCTTTCTAACTTGAGTACGCATAAAAAGTTCTTATTAAGTGACGC